TAGATGGGCAAAGGAAATCCTGGAGGTCGAGTAACAGCTATCAGTGTCAGCGGATTTAAGTATTATTGGAAATACATTTTCAATTTAGAAAAATGTTAACTTTCCACATCTTCTCCTTTCATATATCTGAACTTTTATAGTTCCTTGAGCTGTCCATGTGGCCATGCCAAATTTTCTTTTTACAAACTCGAAAAAATGGTGCTAGGTGGACAACTTATAAACCACTTTTTCTTTTCTCGCGAGAAAAAGAAACAAAAGGTTAAAACGCTGAGACACAAGTTAGTCACATCCAATATGTTAATTTGAGACATAATTTAGTGCAATTTCTATTACATTTAATCAAAATTGTGTTACGAGTACAAAGAGTTATAGGAGTTCCTCTAGCAAGGATGGAAACAATGCATGTTTAGAAATTGTCGTGAGATAAAACTTAGGAGTGTTTAGAAAATTAGAATTAAAAAAAAGAAATATTGTTACCATTTTGTTGATGCAATGCTACACAGTGGGCTATCTGCACTCAGCTCACCCCTAGGAATCGAACTATGGATTTTTGCGTTTTAAGTATATAAACTTACCACTACTGGGGGACGGAAAGAAATAAAATAAATCAAATTTCATATGTTGTCCTCCTCTAAAAACAATTTTGTAAAACGGTTTTGTATAATTGGAACTACAGAACGTACATTGAATGTGTGAAGTATCTTCGTAAGCCTGTACAAAGAGTTGAGCGTGTTATATTAAAGCGATTTTGAATACATAATTCAACAAAACACAGTCCATATAAGGTCGCAGCGGAAGGTAATGTAACAGTGCTACATTTGAACATTATCTGACGTTACGTAATAAGAAAGATGTCACTGAAAATCAATTGCTTCTGTAAAAGGTATGCAACAGCTCTTTCCCACCCAAAATATTGATGCACCCAGAGCATAAAGATGTGTTAAGATCGAGGATATCCTTTACACATAATGACATTAGAAAAAAAAAGAAGGGAATATGGATCAACTTGGAGACCCAGGACCAACCAGAAAGAAACATGCAACAAGTATCCCAGCCATTTCAAGCAAAGTGCGGCGTCTTGTAACAGTTGCGAATCCATGAACACAAAGGTTAGTGGAAGAAACCTTACACGTGGCCTAGGAAAAAGCACGCAACATAATCAAGCAGTATCTCCGTTTGTAGATGAGGCCAACAGGGTATGGGTTCACCAAGCTAAGGCTTTCAGTCCTATGTCTAGTTTAACCATCGCATACCCAAAGCAGATGGAGAATAAGATAGGTTATTCATGCTATTCCATAAGAAGACATAACAATCAAATTGCCGGAGTCAGCGCCAATTGATTTCGGTGCTATCGAACTGTTAAAACGGTCTCCGAGAAACTGTCATTCTCATACACCAGGTGGGTTATGGAAAGTAAGTAGGACAGTATGGTGTGTCTTGGACATGACAGTCGTACGAGGGAGCGTTTTACAGTGGTAACTGTTGTGAGGAATCACGATCGTCACATAGAGCATGACAAGACATAAAGACGGAACATTTTGCAATGGTAACTACGCTGCAGGGCTATTGTTGGGAATCACGGTTGTCGGACAGAGCATAACAGAACGAGAAGACGTGGGTGGTAACAACGTGATAAGGCTCCAACATCTTTTTAATGTAACGTACCCAACCTCTGTACAAACAAATTGTGCCGAATCGTCATATTATCATAAAAATAAGACATATTTGAGTTATTAATAGGGAATGGGGGGGGGGGAAGTGTAAGAAACTGTATTTTCGATTGATTTCAACTTGGTGAATTTACAGGTGTTCATCACGTGCGATAATTTTATTTATAAAAAGCTAGTACACTACGTGAGTTCTGAAATAGAAGATAGTTTTGAAATCGTAGTTTTAATATTGTTGTCAGAAAGTATTATTATAATAATGAGGATTTATTAAAAAAAATGGGCTATGATGCTTCAGCTGTACTTAACGTAATATTAACTACGTATGTTTCCGATATTACCTCTAGCGCATTTTATTTTGTGATGAAGAATTGTTAATTTACTAGAAGAAACTATATAGATGTAATTAGTTGAACCCAATACAAATATATTATCTATATTTTATCAACTATAACTCATTTCTGAAATCTAAAGCTGTAAGGTATTTATATCAAAAATTAAGAAATTACTACAATTTCTTTATAATTTTAACTGACCGGTTTTTTTATGATTGTTGATAAGTGAATCATACATTTGTGTATCATCAGTAAATTAAGAATTACTTAACCTTATAATGAATAATACTAATATTTTTTAATTCTCAAATAATAGTCTTGATGTTATTATTATTACCCTAGATAACGCCGTAATTCAGAGTTAGAAAGTTTACACTGACGTCATTTTTAGAACGTCAGTTCAAAGGCGAGAATGTAACATAACAGGTGAAACGTGAAGATGAGCTTCTTCTCAACCATCGCACTACTTTTAGATATTTATATGCTACAACCATAATCGCGATCTAGTACAACAAATTATCATATTTCAAGTATGTTCACTGTACCAGTGTGTTGGCGACCACATGACATGCGTGGCGTCGTCACGTGTAGTAACAAAATCAACATATTGTTACGTCACAGGGTAGTTCAAGTCCGAGAAACTCCTACGAGCAACTGTCACTGTGTTATAATCTAACCCGAGGTATGGACGTTTCCGTAAGATCGCTAATGAGAAATGCCTGGATGAATAGTCGAGTTAATAAAAATCTAAACGTTCCATACCACTCATTACCACTACCAGTTAACAAGAGTTTGTACCTTTGGGCATAGAGTCTAACTGAACTACTACTCTGATTAGTGTACACAACAGCCAGACTTTTCTTTCACTAAAGACATACATAAGAAGTAGGCTTCATCGTATATAAGTAGATCTGAACAACGCTTACGTGTTTGTTGTTGATAAACCTCAGTTCGTTGGTATATGTCAGGTAAACCAACTTTTGGTCTAGACGGCTGGTCATGGCTTCGTTTTTCGAACCGATGATTTCCTACGATTCTGTTTGTTTCTGGCCGATGAATGGTGAAGAAGATGGTAAGATACTGTTTAAAAGTGAATACGATACTTACAATTATTTCTAACGTTTTAACTGCATTGTTTATTTGAACTTAGAAATAAGGTAATATTTAAATTAGATTTTTCCACGTAGAACAAAATGTATTACGAGCTTTGTTAATATATGAATGTCCTTAACAGTTTGAGTATGTGTCAATACTTTACAGACCTACAGCTAGCAGCAGAACTGGGAAAGACTCTGCTGGAAAGGAATCAAGAGCTGGAAAACAACGTACGTCACCAGCATCTAGTGATTGCAGAAAAGTCGAAGGAGGTAGAAGTAAGTTGAAGGTTCAGTTGTAATTACTTGTGTGTTTTTAAAAGGCTTGCCTTTAGGATTCAACAAGAACGTAAAGATGTTAGTTCTGGAGAAACCGATTGATAAGGTGATATCAGCAGGCAGCAGTTTTTGGTTGTTCAGAGTGGGTTGCAGAGTTTTTATAAGTCATGTGAGGTATTTTATGTTTATTGTTCACACATTTCATGTTATTTTTGATATCAAACGGTTTAAGATTTGAGGATCAAGACAAACAAATTAAAAGATGAATGTTTTAAACTAACACATACTTTATTTAGCAGTAGTTATGGACGGAGCGTTCAACTTCAACAGTTCAAGTATTAGATAGAACAGCGTGTACTGTTGTTAGTGTAAATTGCTTAAGAAGATATTTGCAAGCTAGAAAATGCTAAGTTAAACTTTTAATTTTATATTTTTACAACAAAAATTTGCTTCAAAACATAATCTCAAATAAAACAAAATTATTACAGTTAATTGTTAATTTCTATAAAAAAGGTGTCAGATCTTGAATCGACATCTGAATTAATATTTACAAACAATAAGAGTTTATTTATATGCTCGCGAAAATACGTTATTATTTTCATTTGGCGTACTTTAAACATCTGATTTAATATTTACAAACAATAAGTGTATATTTATGATATGCTCGTGTAAATTACATTATTATTATTTTCATTTGGCGTACATTAAACCTTTAGCCTATACAGTTATCCTTCTCGCCTCGGCATTTCCTGTACTCAAGAAAATTACATTTTTTTCAACCCATGCCTTGGAGGATTCTTAGTTGTTTTTTTTGTTTTTTTTTTTCTTAAATGTTCTTACTTTAACTGGCCTTTCGCCCCCCAGGAACAAGCAAGCAATTACGCTGTCAAAGGAATAGAATAATAATAATTGAACACGGATAATTTTACAACGGAAATGTTTTGAAAAGGTAATAGATAAGAAAAGCCTATTGTAATTTTTACTAGTTTTGGGAACCTGAATATACTGTGTTTGTAAGTAATGGAAATGTTCTAGAAATGAGGGTGAATGCTGTGTCTACTTTCCTCAGCGTTGTACAATGCTCTTAGTTTCCACGTTTGTTCAAAAGTTTGATTATTGAACAACAGTTTTATTTTTGATGAGAAGAGAGATTTTCTCAGTACAGAAAATGAAATATCAACTATTTATTACGGTAAAAAGTCTTGGGTGAATTTTCGGATGTGAAGCATTATTTTCGTGTTTACACGAGCATGAATAATGCTATTTTTCTGCGTTAACAAATTCAGAAATTGGTGTTCTTGCAGAAGGCAAGTCGGTCGATTAAACTTCTCTGTTTGAAAGCAATGGCTAAAAGCTAATCAATTTATTAAACCAAAACTTTTAAAATTGGCCGTCTGGATTCTAGTAAGTCATTTTGTACTTCATGTCATTAACAAGGAACTTAGTGCTTGCGTAGAGAATTTAATGTTTTTTTTTTATTGTTCTTGAAGGTTCTTGGAAGATCGCCTTTGGTCAGTGTACACGCAGAGTTTTGAAAGGAAGTATACCAAGCAATTTAATGAGACTCCAGTCCTTCCTCCAAAATTGGTGCGATATGTCTGTGATAAATATTATGAATAAAATTATATTCCCCTCTTCCTCCACTCTCCCCCAGTGGCAAAAGTTGTAAGTCTGAAAGCTTATAACGCTAAAAACGTGGTTTTGATACCCGTGGTGGGCACAGTACAGATAGGCCATTGTGTAGTTTCGAGCGTAACTCAGCTACACCAGGCAGTACAAAATAAATCTCTTGCTATTGCTAGCACAGAGGGGGGGAAAGCACAGATACTTTGTTTGACTAACCTACGTGGTCATAATAGCCTGCTGTCTTTTGTTGTTGTTTTAACTTTTTGTAAGCTGAATTATGTGAATATAATTACTGATTGGCTTATGGTTACATAGATTAAACGAGAGACTACACTTAGTCGATGAACCCTATTATATAAAACTATCAACCAAGAAAGTTAGTCGATGAACCCAATTATATGAAACTATCAACCAAGAAAGTTAGTCGATGAACCCTACTATATAAAACTACCAACCAAGAAAGTTAGTCGATGAACCCTATTATATAAAACTATCAACCAAGAAAGTTAGTCGATGAACCCTATTATATAAAACTATCAACCAAGAAAGTTAGTCGATGAACCCTACTATATAAAACTATCAACCAAGAAAGTTAGTCGATGAACCCTACTATATAAAACTATCAACCAAGAAAGTTGAGTTCACAATTTAATTTTTGTTTCTGTATTATTTGCTTTCTTTCTCTCTCTCTCTCTCTCTTTGTATGTATGCATGTATATTGTATTCTGGTGTAGGTGCAGATATAATAAACACGAGATTAAGTTAGACGGATAACAATGATTGTTCAGATAAGTAACTCTGTGGAGAGTTCTATCAGACTACCACGGGTAAAGGTTGAACATCCTTTAAAAGTTATTGGAAGGAATACATGTCACGAATATAGATACATAACTTCGAGGGTTACCACGAAAACAATAAATATAAATTTGTAGCTTTTTGATATGTATGAAATTCGTGTTTAACGTTTTCAGAAGAACCATAGAAAATCAAAATTATATTATTGGATCTGGCAACAGAAACTAAATTGGATTAAATAAAGAAATCGGTTTCTAATCAACTAAACCGGACGCTGTCCGTTAATGATGATACTTTTAATTCTTCAAAATGAAGGGGGGAGAGGAACAAACTTGCAGTATTTTTTTCATGTCTGGAAAAAACAGTGCTAATTTTTACTAGATTCAAATCAGACTTGTAATGTTCAAACAGTTGTAAAAAAAATAAACTAAATGACCAAAGAACTAAAAACATGTTTCGTTATGACCGAAACAAATATCTATTTATATTTACCATTCAAAAGTAGTTATGCGTATGATCCTCCACTATAAAAAAAAAAAACTACAGAATATTGAGTTGTAAACGACGTTAAAAAACAAAAATAATGTAGTCATAATGACATGATTAAAAAAGTCCAACAGCTTGACATTTTGCCCCATTTCGACTTTCACGTTTTGGGGTTTTAGCTCACTCGAGCACGTGTCAGCATATAAAATGTTTTAACGTATTTTTAAGTTTAGCTTAGATTATATGAGAAATGTGAGTCATATTTTCATACATGTTAGGCTTATGACTGATCACAAATTAATCTAATATAATGACTTATAAACTGTAAGAAAATCCGAACATTTTGCTCTCACACATAAAACATGTAAATTACGCTTTCCTATAAAGTTTTGATTCGTTAAAGAAAGCCTCAAAACTTCTTTTCCTAGGTGCGTATAATAAGTGAAATCGAAAAGTTATTTCTACCACTTATGGATACCAAATAGGTCTGGATAACATTTCCTAATATCTGTCTAGTTGAGTTGATGGCAGTCAAGTTACAACTCGAAATCACTATACTCGGCTGGCCACGCTTGAGACTAGTTTTCCGTGTGGGCAGATGTTGCATATTTCTAGCTAGAAGTTGTACAGATATCTAAATGGAGATTATCATTAAATTTGTTTGAAACCCCCTTTTTCACTTCTGTTGTAAGCACAATGTATGCAAGTTATATTACTGTAAGTACATAATATTCGTTAAAAGTTCACTAAATGCTCCTACATAATTTTGTACTCCATTAGCAATTTAGTTCATCGACTTAGCCATTTTTTCATAATACCAGTAAATAATTTTAACGTTATAAAATTATTCTTGTATTGAGTTTTATTAGTAGTGTTTTGTTAATTGAAAGGGTGTTCCATTCTTAACTGTTACTCTCCATTTTGTGTGTAGCGTATGAGTTATTACTTGTGTTGGTTTATCTCTCGGCTGTTATGACTCATACCGGAAGTGCTTAAGCTCCAGTTAGAATGGTTACGTATGCGCTAAATTACAAAGGAGTTGGACCGGTCGTTTGTGAGATGGGAGTAAAATTGAAAAATTCTAGTGTTCTTATTTGATCTAAAACTCGAAAGGGTAATGTTTAAAGTGCACTTGTGTTGTTATATACACGTAAACAGTCGCGTGAAGATTTTACTGTTTTGTTTACATACACCAACAAACTATAGGTTTTCGTACAGTACAGTCTTGATACGACTAAGTCTTCGTGTTAAAAGCACATCAACTTGTATATTTTGAAATGCTAAACTGATAAGCTGTGTGTGGTAGAAAAGAATTATTAATATCTGAAAAAACATTTAGCCTAAATTGACATAATAACATGAAGGACATTAACTTGTAATAGTCGTTAAGGGGATTATCACAAAAAATACACGAAAAAAGGTATCCCGTATTCGTCACATGTGCTATTTGTATGTTTAAGTAAACAAAGTCGCCTATTTACGAAAAGTAGGGGGGGGGGGAGATTTTGAGTTTCGTTGTTTAATGTCTGACTTACTTGCTTACTGTAAATGGATTTGTAATTGCACTATCAGATTTCATAAAACCTCTTTAAACGGCCATTTACATGGAGAGGGTTGATCGACTCAACTCGAACCGGTAAGGTTAAAATTCTCCCTGTATTTAACTCTTTCAAACTTCTAAAGGACCTCACAAAGTTATATCTTGTTATGCTAGTTTTTGTATCATTAAATACCTACTTCAGCTTGTGCTTGGAAGAACAAGCACTTCTATTATTATTAAGTAAACTAGTGTGAATAATGGGAGGAAGAAGTGGCTGTTTTTCTCAGTACTGTGCAAATTAATTCTCCAGTTGTGTTAAATAATCCTCTAATAATAAACATTGTTTTATGTATATGATAATTAGACAACGTCTGATAAATCAACTTGTGCAATTTTGTAAATTCCGATCTTTATCAGTTCACGACCCCCTTGTATAACCAGAAATTCAACGACATAGTCGATTATTAAACAACCACAGAAAGACATAGCTTGTTTACTAAGACAATTGAATTAACTGTTTTTGTCCCAATTATATTTTAATTTAGTAGCTTTC